AAAAAAAACAAAAAAAAAACCAACAACAAAAAATAGAATGTTATTCTAAAAGTACAGTCAAACACACACGCAGTGAAATCTGTGGGACACGAAAATCTCTAAGTTACTTACAAATTTTGCTATGTGCAAGATTTCAATATAAAGAAAATACATGTACACATATAAGTAAAAAATTTGGGACTGGAAATATGTTTGCAATGTGTGTGTTTTGCTGTATGTAGGCCTATGTCTGACTATGTATGTGCAGGTCTGCTTTGTGCGTGTTCGTTATGTGCAAGCTAGGCTGTAATTGTGAAGCTACAGCTGAACAGAGCTCGACATTGAGTAGAAGACAGGCTGTCCCCGTCGTTTTACGCAAGAAAAATTCTGAAATTTTGCAAACTGAGCCCAAAAATGTGAAATTATGCGATTCTGTTAATTTTAACAAAGAATGATAAAGGAAAATAATAAGAAATTATGAAAAAAATGATCAAATTTTGCGAAATTCTGCGGGGTGCATAAACCACGGGGACAGGACAGGCAGAGAGAAAAGTCAAACACCTATGGCAAATGAATACTGCCGCAGGAAACTGTGTATCTGTGGTCTAGATATCTAGATGTGAATTCGTTGGGCAAAAGATCGTCTTGACATCTCTCCAGCATAGCGTGACCTCAATGCTTTCTCGTCCTACCTCCATTTTTAATAACAATGAAAACAGTTCACAACAAAGAGTGAACTTAACCCTATCCGTGCGTCGTGTTTTACTATCGTTTCCATACAATGTGGGGAACTCTGAGCCACCACTTTCCAAAGAGGAAATTTACTCGATAAGCCGATCCGTACGCTTTGCATAGCAGTCTGGCAAATGATTTTTTGAGAAATACTAAAAGTTTCAAAGAGATCTTCGCACTAGAAGTATTCTAAAATGTGAAGAATACAACCCCGGGGGTACTAAATGACCCCAGGACGTACGGATAGGGTAAAGAAGAAGTCACATTTTCAATGTTTAAAAAAATGGAGACAGGACAAGCAAGCAGTGCATGAGGTCGTGATAGGTTGTATTTCTACATCAGCATAGTGGCAGGGACATGTACTAATAGAGTCAGCCAGCTGTTTAGATGTAGTCAATCCAAAAATTGACATTTTAATTTTTGCTGTTTCTTCGTCTGTGGTAGTGGGTTGCATGTGCTTGAAAAATAATTGTCAAAATCTGAATTCTAATTGTTAATAACAATAATAATGAAGATAATTTCTATAGCGCCCACTCCCGTGTAAACGCAGCTCTAGGCGCTTTACATAAATGCATGTACGAACAATATTCATGCACGCGACACACACACACACACACACACACACACACACACAAACACACACACACACACACAAACCCACACACTCATATACACACAAACATACACACATATACACACACACACACACACAAACACACGCATACACACTCATGAACACATAACACGCACACATGTGCACACACATGTATGCCAAACACACACACACACACACAAACACACACACACACACACACACTCACACAAACACACACACACACGCACACACGCACACACATCTACTTGCTTATCACACGCACACGCTTACACATCGTCACGAAATGAGCTTAAAATAATATATACACTGCAATTCACAAAATACATAAATGGATACATAGACATTTACATAACTTTGTATTGAACATGAATCTACTAACATAAAAAGGATGTCATTAAATATGTCTTTAAAGATTTTTAAAAATTTAGACTCAGATGTTGAAAACAGCCAGAAAAGGTACACACGGCGTATGTAGGCCTACAATTCTTCAAGGAATAAAACACGTTTTTCTCGTTAATGAAAAGTGTTTCTTTCTGGACTTAGATCAGTTGAACAGCTAGAAGCTGATATAATAAAATATATGATGCATTTTGTGTCAATAAAAAATTTAGACTCAGATGTTGAAAAAAGCAAGAAAAGGTACATACAGTGTATGAACAATTCTTCAAGGAATAAAACGTTTTTTTCTCTTAAATTAATGAAAACAATTTCTTTCTGGACTTAGATCAGTTGAGCAGCAAGCAGCTGATATAACAAAATATATGATGCATTTTGTGTCTGCGTGTACTACGCTATGGCGTGAATCGATGACACGTAACCACAAAGTGAGCTGAGAAGTGACAGAAGAGAGTGGTTTCCTGAGGCGTCTTTCCCAAACACTCCAGGAAAACCACAGCTCAAGAGCCCTCCCTATCCGTCAACGCGAGCAGGAAGGGCATCTTTAAGTTTGACAATTTCTTAAACACTAATTATATATCTGGACAATTTCCTCCCACAGTCTTGATATTCCTCCACAGTTCAGTGTAGAGACTTCTGTGTGGCGCAGACAGCTTAGTTTTAGTTTTAGTAAGAGTTTTACGGCACTTGCAACACTATAAGGTCATATGTGAGGTACGCTGACAAAATGAGTTACTTCTCACAGTCCACAAATAAAGAGATTGGCCAAAAATCGACACTAGGGTCAGATTTGTAGATTTTCATTAGATGCCATATTTTCAGTCTAAAATACTTATGAATTTTTTTCATACTTTTAAACATTGTAAAAACTTCACATATAAGCATGATGTATCTATTTCTATTGAGCTCAAATCCAAGACGTAACGTATTTTGTCAGCACGCTTCACATATAAGTGCCGAAGAATAGAGGTGTTACAAGAGAGTAACAAACACAAAAAAAGAAGGAGAAGAGATCAGGACGATAGATGTTTCATAGGAAAGAAGAAGCAAACCACACCAGAGCAGCCGCCAACCCCCAACACAGAGAGCTTTCACTGCTTTATGCACCACAGAATGAATCAGTTCCCTGTTTCACAATGGAAGTACTCTCATGGACCTGTCCAGTATGCAATGACGTTGTGGCCCAGGACAGGTAATCATCATCATCCAGTGCCAGATCTGCAACAGTCATCGGTGATCATGGTTCTCCATTCATTCCTTTGCTCGGATGCTCTCAAAAAAGCTACGTTTTCCTGTTACCCATTTGTTTAGGTTCCGTAAGTATGTTGCACTGGGCCTACCCCTGCCTCGCTTATCCTCAATTTTGCCAGTGAGAGCTATAATAATGTTCAAGACCCTTATGTCTATTTATGTGTCCCAAAAACTGCATTTGTTGTTTCCTGATTGTTTTTAACATTGAGTGTCCCACGTGGGCTTCATCAAGCACTACCTCATTTGATTTCTTTTCCTTCCACGATACTCTTAGCAGTCTCCTAAGAAACCACATTTCTGTTGCTTCTATTTTATTTTCGCTGTCTTTAGTGACTGTCCAGCATTCTTCTGAATAAGTATGAAATCTATTACAGGTAATAATGGAAGTATAAACACAGGTGGAATAAGTGCTGCTCACAATTTTTTTTAGCACACAAAACAATAAAGCAAATGTAAGCTTGAAAAATGATAATGGAACTCATCATTGTGCAAAGTTTAAATTTTTTTTAAGAAGAAGCTGTGGCAACAAACTCAACAGCAACCTAGAACTTGGTTGGAAAATTTCTCCCTCATGTCGGCTACGGAGAACATTTCATGTGAAAATAGGAAACAAATTACCAGGAGTAAAGTTTTAATTTGGGATTACAACTGTGAACTGTTAGACTAGATTGTATCTAATGGCTAGATTATTGAACTACATCGCAAGTATGAAAGCAGAAAATTATCAAAAGTAGAAACTGGATAGGCATACTCTAAAAGACGGTGGGTTTTTTTCTTGAGCTCAAACAATGGAATAAACCGGCGCAGAGGGCAAAGATTGTTAATAATTGTTTCTTTGCACTCGCTACCTTTGGGAAGATTAGTCTCCGAGCTGTAGTAAAATGATGGTTATAAAAATATTACAAAATAACACATGACAGACAGACATCATTTTGCTGGAGACGATGAAAGCTACCACAAAATGAAGAAACAGAGTATGGATAAATGATAATAGGAAACTTTCTCCGTTGAACCAGTTTCAAAGACGATTTACCAAAAGGTTATACAATGAAGGTAAAATACAACAGGAGAGAATTGAGAGGAGGTTAGGACATTGTTTGTTTTAGAACATACAAACAGTAAAAGTTAAAAGAAAAGTTATTCCCGCATCCGATCCAGACATTGGAGATTGCCTTGTTAGAGAGACAACTTCCTGGGCCTTCGGCATATTGTGGTAGGGTGGCCAGTTCCTTTCCACGCCGCCTTTACTTCCCCAACTCGAAGTCAGGTACCCATTACTGCTGGGTGGGCAGGAGGGGGTGAAAAAATCAGAGTCCGAACCGAGGCTCGAACCCGAACTTTCCGCTTCGGAGACGAGCGCACTAACCGCTCCGCCAGCGCACCCTCATACAAACAGTAGCAGAAGTAAATCAATAACCGACAGGACTCTACAAATACAAGTCGTTTTGCCAGAGAGGTTGGGAATTTTAAAAAACAACAAAAAAACAACATCAAAATGTTCCATAGAAAAGTTTGAGCACATCTGCAACAAAAAAATGGAAAGATAGAGCAAGGGTGGGGTAGTAGCTGGAAGCATGAACAGAACATGTAGAAATGTATTATCGTCCTGAGATTGGGCTGATGCTGTAGAAAAAAGTTCTCGATTTCCGTTAAGTAAGACAATAAATATTACGTTGATACGCCACTGGAAGAAACTGACAATAAATACAGGAAAAGAGACAGAATCAGACACTGTTTTAGAGTCTCTCATAGAACAATACTTTTCAGAGTTGATTACACTGTAGCTAACACAATCAGTTCAGTCTTTAACTCTTTATCTCCGGCAAGTCGCTCCCAGCGGTTTGCGGTCGGAACCACTGTGCCAGTGAGCCATTTAATTACTTTACGGCAATCGCAGAAAATGGGTTTCTTTTACCAGAAGAAGTTTATTCATTAGAAGAAGTACTATCATAATAGGTCAGGTTCGCTAATTTTGATTTAATGACCAATTTAGTGACGTTTTCGTCATTTTTAGATTTAGTACCAAAAAAGAGCCCCGACGTAGTGGGTTTACCCCCCCCCCTCCCCTCAGGAGATAAAGAGTTAATATAATAAAGCCTTTCCATCAGAAGCATGTTTTTTCCTGAACCCCTGGGTTACAAATGTTAAGAATACAACGACAGGTGTGGTTACCTTCTTTCTATCCCCAATATATTTCAGGGGTAGTCAATGAGACGCTCGATAGACAAACACGACGCTTGTGAAACCATCGTGCAACTGGTTTTTATTTAATGGGCAGACTTTTTTCTTGAGCCCAAAGTTGGTTGCCTAGGAGCAGTGAAGCACTTTTTTAACCCTATCCATACGCCTGGGGTCATTTTGTACCCTCAAGGTTGTGTTTTATACATTTTAGAATCCTTCTAGTACGAAGATCTCTTGGAAGTACTAGAAGTATTCTAAAATGTGAAAAATACAACCCCGGTGGTACAAAATGACCCCAGGGCGTACAGATAGGGTTAAATGTGTTCAGTTTAAGTAGACTCCACAACATATTCTATTGCGTATTTAAAGACCACAAAACATCACTTTTTAAATAGTAAAATTTTACAAGCATTTGGAATGTTGCATAACTCAGTGCCCGCTAACAAATTGAGGGGGCTCTCGTGGCCTAGAGGTTAAGGTGTTGGCCTCTCACTCAAAAGGTCCCGGGTTCGAATCCGGGAAGCGACCGAAAAATGTTCTCTAAATTTGTCTCCTTTCATCTCATTTCCTGCTCTCTAGCAATGTTCTGTCGTCTGCTTTCGTCTCCACTTTCTGCCCTCACCCCGTCACCTCCTTTGCCCCTTCCTATGGGCTCCTGATTCTTTCTGCAGCCTTTCTACTGCTACTCCTTCACTTCTTCTTACTGCAGTCTTTCAGCCACACCCCTGATCTTCTGGTAGGAAAGATCTGCACCTAGCCTTCTCGGAAAAGGGCGAAAAATCTCGGAGGGCCCGTGTGCAAGTTGCGCACGTTAAAGAACCCTTGGTGGTCTAAAATCGATAAGAGTAGGCTTCGGCCGCCACCCGAGCAAAATTCAAAATTTCCTACCAACTGAAAATATTAGGTGTGTCCCGCGCGCTCATATGACCTATGCAGTTGCAAGCACCGTAAAACACTCTATTATAAAAAAAAAAAAGAACAAATTGAAGTTTTGTTAAAGCTACATCGAGAGAAAAAGTCTAGGGATATACAACACATAGAATGCTGTAGAGAAATCATTTCAAGAGACCTGGAAGATTAAGAACAAAATAAAATAAACGTTACTGGAGACGAAGCAACAAGGACCACACCCAATCAGTACAAATTAAATGAAGTAATGTCAACAGATGTTACTCTTTGAGAGACCTATAAAAATAACTGGAGTAATTAAAGAACTTAAATGAGACAACATGAATAAGAAAATGTGGGTCAGCGTAACAATAATAAAAATGGTTAACGAAATATTTAAAAAGAATTGAATTAAAGAAAGAAAATGACATATGGCAGAAAAAAAATGGTAGCCATACTTACATCCCCATCCACTGACGACTTTAATAAGATAGACATAATTTAAGAAATAATAATCTATCACTTTAAAAACACATTTCTTGAAAAGGATTTATTTGATGTCTATTGCAAAACTTGAATTTTAATGGTATGTGTGAACAGCAGTCAATGTGCACATAATTTCATAAGTGCTATTAGGTTACGAAATACATGCATAAAATATTACAACAAATTTTTATATAACAATTTCACAAACACAAATTACTGGTCATCCCAGTGCAGTAAGCATCGTTCATTGTTATGAGCTGGGGTTAAAATGTTGAGCTCAGAAACACAAAGCAGTAGTCACTCTCTTTTAAAAAAAAAAAGCTGCTGCAGCATTTTCTTTTCATTTTCGCAATGAAACAATGGATTGAATGACTTACTCTTCTTCATAATTCTGTAACTGCTGTGGGTACTTGGCCACTTTCTTTTACATTGAAAACCTTTCTGGCAACCCGGCTGGTGGGAGGGGGGGGGGGAGGTTGGTCGAGAGTTTTGCACCAGAAACGCGGGTCTCGAGAAAGGGAGGCTCACGTGAGCTTCGAGACACAGTCAGTCACTCATGGTCAGTCACGAGAGAAGGAGGCTCGAGAGAAGGAGGCTCGGGAGAAGAACGCTCGAGAGAAGGACGCTCGAGAGAAGGACGCTCGAGAGAAGGGCGCTCGAGAGAGCATATAGCCACAGAGGCTGCCACTAACAGTTTAGTCGTGAGGCAAGGGACAGAGTCAAGTCACAATAAGGAGAATCTACATACACCTGTTTGTGAATAAAGTTCAACCTAAAGGTACTCTAGTTCATTCAAACCTTCGTCAGAGTATTTGTGTTGACGGAGTTCGTATTAATTTTCATTAAGTCATTCGTCGGAATACATGTATTGACAGTGTTCCACCATAGTAATCTCAAAGTTGAAAAGAAGTTCCCACAAAGAATTCCACCAAACTGCATCACTTTGAGCAAAAACAAATAGAAGATGTGATTTCTATTTTAATGTTGCATCTACGACTTACCAACTGTCTTCTCTACGTCTTTTGACCTTTAGAGAAGGAGAGCTACAAGTTGTACTTCTGCAGCCTTTCTACCTCTACTCCGTGGCTCCTTCTTACTGCTGTCTATCAGCCACACCCCTGATCTTCTGGTAGGGAAGATCTACACTAGCCTTCTCGGACAAGGGCGAAAAATCTTGGAGGGCCTGTGTGCAAGTTGCGAGCGTTAAAGATCCCTTGGTGGTCTAAAATCAATAAGAGTAGGCTATGGCCACCATCCGGGCAAAATTCAAAATTTCCTACCAACTGAAAAGGTTCAATGTGTCCCGCGCGCTCATATGCTTGTGCAGTTGCGAGCGCCATAAAACACATACCAAAAAAAAAAAAAACCTTACCGGAGGAATCATCGGCTTGTTGAAGGCGTAATGGCTTTGTATCTTCTTGGAGCTACCAGCTGATGAGAGCTCGCGTCTGCTGCTCTGGGCGCTGTACTCTTGCTCCAACATCAACTCTCTCGCCTTGCTGCCTGCCCGTCTTTTCTTCTTCAGCTTTGAGTCACTCAAGGTAAACATCTCTTTGCTGCAAAATGTAGAACAAGTTCAAACGTTCTATGATATACTGTCATAGCAAAGTAGGAACTTAAAGTCACTTAACTCTATGAGCCCCATCAGATGCTGGTAGCGTCCGGCGGTGATAACCCGGTTCCCCATCGGATGCTGGGAGCATCCAGTACTAGTGACAACTGTTTCGTTTTATTTAGTGCTAGTTTTTGCTTGTTTTTCGGAACTATTCCCGAACCAAGTTTTTTAGTAATGACTAAGCCTTTGTTTCCGCTATTTAGAAGTTGGAGGCAGCTTTTGGGGTTATAATGAGACATAGCGCACCAGGTTTAGGTGACTGTAGAAAAAACTCTGGGAAACGGTGAAAAAAACTCAGGGCTTAAAGAGTTAAGGTAAACATCTCTTTACTGGAACAAGTTCAAACGTTCTATTATATGCTGCCACAGCAAAGCAGGAACTTAAAGTCTCTTTACGAAAAATCTCTTTGCTGGAAAATGCAGAACAAGTTAATAATAATAGACAGCAATTTGCGTCACGACGTGGTGGAATCAGGCTCTCGTCAATTTTTGGTCATGTAGAGTTATTGGTATCACCTTAAAGCTTGTTCCCTTGTCTTCATTTGGATGAGAAAAAAAATCCATTTATCTTGAATACAAGTCGAGATATTTGCGAATGAAGGAGGTGGGGGTCACCTGGTTTCAGAGGTAAAATCAATGAGAAAATGGCCGCCAAAGATTAGTTATTTCCTTGGCTTAAGAGTCTGTGATAACAGAAAATTTACATTTTTGCGCCTTAAATCAACATTTTTCAGTAAAATCAACAAAGAAAGTTACAAGAGAGTAACAAACATAAAAAAGAAGGAGGGAAGATAAGTTTTAGGAAGTGTTTTACGGCACTTGCAACACAATAAGGTCATATAAGTGCCAAAGACTAGAGGTGTTACAAGAGAGTAACAAACATAAAAAAGGAGGAAAGATAAAGACGATAGTTGTTTGATAGGAAAGAAGGAGCAAACCACACCAGAGCACCCGCCAACCACCCACACAGTAGGAGTAAACCATCCTTCACCAACTATTGAAACTGAGAGTGACTTTATTTTGTAAATGTTCACCTAACTAAATTTTTACAAGTTCAGAATTTTATCCCATTGTCTTTCATGCTTTTTACCTTCAGAAAATAGTAACGTAAAAAAAACAACAACCCAAGAACTAAAAACCTCCCCCCCAAAAAACATCACAATCAAACATAAGAGGTGGGTGGTTGGCGGGTGCTCTGGCGTGGTTAGCTTCTTCTTTCCTATCAAACATCTATCGTCCTTATCTCCCCTCCTTCTTTTTCGTGTTTGTTACTCTCTTGTAACACTTCTAATCTTCGGAACTTATATGACCTTATTGTGTTGCAAGTGCCGTAAAACACTTACTAGAACTTTAAAAAAAACATAAGAGACCACGGCTCACCTGTACATGAAATGATTGGACTGCATCCGTTCCCACTTGATGATAGCACCGTTGTGGTCGCCGCTGAAGATCAAAATGGGCACCTTGGAAGCTGAAGTAGAATGGCAGAGGAAAAGAATCCTTACATTATGGAAGTGTCTATGTACTCCCCGATTGGGGTCTACGTAGTCATGGTGTCTAGGTGGACCCCAAAATGTTGGATTGTGATTGGCTCGCTGAGCGAGCGGTAGTTTACATTGGTTACAACAAAGATACTACACCCTACGGTAGGCTGTACTATCTTTGCTTACAATGCAAGGCTACTGGTCATCTCGGGCTGTGTGTCGATCTAGTGTTACTATAATTTATTTATTTTAGCCCAGAGAGAGAGTATAATTTAATGAATAAACGAATCTAGATCTAGAATCTAGATCTAATCTAGATGTCGAGATCTAGATCTAGATCTAGATACGTTTATTCATTAAATACTCTCTCTTTCTCTCTCTCTCTCTATCTCTCCCTCTCTCTCTCTCTCTCTCTCTCTCTCTCTCTCTCTCTCTCTCTCTCTCTCTTGGTTAAATTTAATTAATTATAGTAACACAAGATAGACATACTACCCGAGATGATCAGTAAGTAGGCCTAGCAGCCTTGCATTGTAACCAATGTAAACTACCGCTCGCTCAGCGTGCCAATCACAATCCAACATTTTTGGGGTCCACCTAGACACCATGACTACGTAGACCCCAATCGGGGAGTACGTAGACACTTCCTTACATTATTGTAAAAACTCTGAAACACTAAAATTTACACATTGGTGTGGTTTGGTTTTTCTTAAATAGAAAGCTTTCCTTTCACTCAGTTGAGTACAGTTATTATTTAATAAATAAAAAATAAATTAATAAATAAACAAATAAAATTTAAAAATAACACTTTTTATTTGTCACGAAAGGGCACTTTGTTTTACAATGGCAAACAGACATTTACATTACATACATAAATACATAATTATGAATACATACAAACATAAATACAAGCAGAAATACACACATGAATACACAATATTACACAAATACACAACAGTTTACAACCATGCCACTGTCGGCTGCCACTGTGCAGCGCCCTGTATTTTGAGCTAGGGTTAAGCTACTCACTTAGCCACTGCCAGACATACCTCAGTAAATTTCCCTCTGTTAGTGATTAGGAAATAGACGCACTGTCAACTGCACAAAGGTAGTTTCTTCTTGAAAAAGTACCTATTATTTAAAGTGTGTATTTTAACCTTATCCATACGTCGTGTTTTACTATCGTATCCATACGACGTGGGGAACTCTGTGCCACAACTTTCAAAGTCAAAGAGGAAATTTATTCCCTATTCCGATCTGTATGCTTTGCATAGCAGTCTGTCAAAATGATTTTTTTGAGAAATACTGAAAGTTTCAAAGAGATCTTTGTACTAGAAGTATTCTAAAATTTGTAGAACACAACCCCAGGGGAACAAAAGGTACGGATCGGATTAACAAGTAAATTTCCTCTTTGGAAGGTGGGGCACAGAGTTCCCCACGTCGTATGGATACGATAGCAAAACACGACGTATGGAAAGGGTTAAAATACACACTTTAAATAGGTACTTTTTCAAGAGGATTCAATCTGTGTGCAGTTGACAATGCATCCATGTCCACGACAGAGTTCCCCACGTGGTATGGATGCGATAGTAAAATACGACGTACCGATAGGGTTAAGCGGTGGCACAGAGTTCCCCACGTCGTAGGGATGCGATAGTAAAATACGACGTACGGATAGGGTTAAAGACTCTGATGCTTACTGCAGGAAAAGAGTCAGTTACCACATCCCTTTCTTCAAAATGGGAACATTTTACACGCATCCTAGCAAGGGTACTTACTGTAACACAAACTCTCCATGGGAGATTTACACGTGAGTGTTGTGACACAGCCAGAGGAGTTGTACTTCCAAACGATGAGGTGTCGCCGGCTTGAGGACGCTGCGGGAGAAACATTGACAGATTCAGAGGGTGATACAACTGTAGATCGACTTGTGGAGAGTTTAGTGAGTGACTAGAGAGTATGACGCGGAATCCCCAAGGAAAACGTAAGAAAAGAAGACCAAAGATGACATGGAGGCGAGAGGTACAAGCGGAAATGGAAAAGGTGGGGACATCATGGAAACAGCTAGAAAAGGATGTACAGGACAGGCTTCGCTGGGGAAATGTTGTTGATGGCCTGTGCTCCACTGGGAGTTAAAAAGGGCAAGAGAGAGAAAGTGTATGAGGAGATATTATGGTCACTTTTAAGCACAAGGGGACTATCCCGAAAAATGCTGTTTTGAGAAAATCGAAGGTAAAATTTTGGCACCCTTGTTCAGTTTCTTTAAAAGGCAAGGAGAGTTTTCTCTATAACCAAACAAATATACACACCAATGAAACCAAACTTCTCCTATAGGTAGGTAGGGCAATGCACACTTTTGGTGTAGGTCAAGATTTTGCTGGAAACCTCCAAAATATGGGTTAGCCTGCTTGTCCTTAAAAGCGACCATATTTAGTTTATGTTCCCCTACTGAAAAAGCAAAAATGCATCATGTCCTTTATGGATGGAAAAACAACAGCGTAACGCGGCTTGCTAATGATGTCAGCATTTTTTTTTCTTTCTTTCAAATAACCAAACACTTCGTTGTGTGAGATTAACTCTTTATCTCAGAGGGGGGTAAACCCACTACGCCAGGGCCCTTTTTTGGTGCTAAATCTAAAAATGACAAAAACGTCATTAAATGGGTCATTAAATCGAAACTAGCAAACCTATTTCAATAGTTCATCATCTAATGAATGAACTTCCGGAAAAAGAGACCTGTTTTCAGCAATTGCTGAAAAGTAGTTTGATGTCGAAGTCATCGTAAAAGAAGGTGCCCGAGCCGCTGTCAGCGACTCACCAACACAGTGGTTCCGACCGCGAGCCCCTGGGAGTGACTCACCAACACAGTGGTTCCGACTGCGAGCCCCCGGGAGTGACTCACCAACACAGTGGTTCCGACCGCGAGCCCCCGGGAGTGACTCACCAACACAGTGGTTCCGACCGCGAGCCCCCGGGAGTGACTCACCAACACAGTGGTTCCGACCGCGAGCCCCCGGGAGTGACTCACCAACACAGTGGTTCCGACCGCGAGCCCCTGGGACTGACTCACCAACACAGTGGTTCCGACCGCGAGCCCCCGGGAGTGACTCACCAACACAGTGGTTCCGACCGCGAGCCCCCGGGAGTGACTCACCAACACAGTGGTTCCGACCGCGAGCCCCCGGGACTGACTTGTTGGAGATAAGGAGTTACAAAGGTTCTGTTTGCAGTAAAGGTATTTTACAGGTACAGAATGTCAAAGTTTGTGATTTTAAACACAAAAGCAGACAGAACCATATTCATGTTCACTTTTTTTCTGAGCAGAACGGTCACTTCAGAATGAAATGCAGATCATCATGGAAAACGTTGCAGATAGAACCCACATCAAACTGTGACTCAACTCAAAATATTCTCATAAGTTCTAAAGTTCTAAAGTTCTGGATTTTAAGTCACTATAAATCATGACTAACTCAAATTTCATCAGATAATAGTAACAGACACTTGCTCCAAGCATTAAATAAGGTATCATCACCGCTTGAAAATGGTAGCACAAAATAAGCCATATGTGAGGCATCGTCATGAAATCAGGCGCTCGTCAAAATGATGAAACTGAAGAAACTGGCATTTTTCTGTCCGTTTGACAATCTTTATTGAATTTTTGCTTTTTTGACTCAATACCTTTAAGGTCCATTTAGAAACACATTTATGTGTAAATTTTACTGAAACATGTTGATTAAAGGCACAACAAATATAAATTTGCAGTTTCCAAGGACTCTCAAGCTTTGGAGGTCGCTAAACTTTGGCGGCCATTTTCTCGCTGATTTTATTTCTGAAACCAGGCGATCCTCACCACCTTCAATCACAAATATCTTGACTTCTTCTATTCGTGATAGATTAGCATTTTTTTTTCACCGAAAGCAAGATAAATGAACGAGCTTTAAAATGATACCAATAACTCCACATGCCCAAAAATTGACGAGAGCCTGATTCCACCGCGTCATGACACATATATTTTTTACCAAATGCAATACGTACCAACGACTTGATTCAATTCTGGAAAAAACTTCAATATCTGAAGATGGTACTTTTCCTCCTCTTGTGTTGCAAAAGTGCCAATAAAGTCAGAGACCTGAAATATCATTATTGAGTTCTTCACACAGCTCAAAGCTACTCAAAACAAGGTTATGGCATTTCTCAGACAAATCAAACAAAGTTGAGATGAAAGCCTATCAGTCAGACTTTTCAACTTTCGATCAAAGGATGAAGTCGTCCATTCATATCAGAATGCATAACCTTGTCTCAAGTTCTAAGAAACACCTAGGAATTAAAAGAACTTTATTCTTAATTTCATTAACCCTATCTGTACGCCCTGGGATAACTTTGTACCCCTGGGGTTGTATTCTTCACATTTTAGAATATTTCTATTGCGAAGATCTCTTTGAAACTTTCAGTATTTCTCAAAAAATCATTTTGACAAACTGCTATTCAAAGCGTACGGATTGGATTAACAAGTAAATTTCCTCTTTGGAAAGTGGAGGCACACCACACGTCGTATGGATACGATAGTAAAACACGACGTACGGATAGGGTTAAGTGGTGGCACAGAGTTCCCCACATCATATGGATACGATGTAGTAAAACACGACGAACGGATAGGGTTAAATTCACAAATCTGTTTGATCATGTAGCCCAATAGACTAATCATTCGAGCCAAAAATTAGTTTTTACATACTATGTAACACAATTCTGGATGCAGCAAAGAAAATGGGGCCTTGTCAGGCATGTATTCAGCATCTCAACAAGCAAAAGAGCAAATGGAAGTCATACAACCCAGAGAAGTCTTTTTTTTGGGGGGTAGAGGTTTTACGGCGCTCGCAACTGCGTAAGGTCATATGAGCGCCAGAAGATTAGAGGTGTTACAGGAGAGTAACAAACATGAAAAAGAAAAAGGGGAGATAAGGACGATAGATGTTCGATAGGAAAGAAGAAGCAAACCACACCAGAGCACCTGCCAACCACCCACGAATACATTAAAAGGTACCAAAGATTCAGGAAAATGATAGAACCAACCATTATGCACATAATTTGCACTTGTCATATTTGTTCTCTTAAAGAAGCTGGCAACGTAGACTTTTTACTCAGGTCAGAAAATAAAAATGAATATAAATCAACTTTTCCCATCTGATGAAAATAAATTTGTCGAACTGAAAGTCAAGATAAGACAAGACAAGACAAGACAAGACAGACAAGACAAGACAAGACAAGACAAGAGACAAGACAAGACAAGACAGACAAGACAAGACAAGTCAAGATAAGACAAGACAAGACAAGACAAGACAAGACAGACAAGACAAGACAAGACAAGAGACAAGACAAGACAAGACAACACAAGACAAGACAAGACAAGACAAGACAAGACAAGACAAGACAAGACAAGACAAGACAAGACAAGACAAGACAAGACAAGACCAGACCAGACCAGACCAGACAAGACAAGACAAGACAAGACAAGACAAGATAAGATGATACTTTATTGTCCAAGCGTGCATTTTTTCTTGGCTTACAGAAAAGGTCAAAATACAAGCAGATATGCACAGAATAATATTTATCAAATATTACTCTCCTAAAAATTCAATACGAAGAGAAAAATAAAACCTGACAATAATACGAATGGATCAGATCAGACGCACCTTTCAACCACAAGTGGGAGTTTATCACGAGTTATTACACAGTTGTCAAAGAAAGATGAAGCTATAGCTCCTCAGATAATCAAAAGAACACTTGTGAGGCAGCATGGTGAAATCAGGCGCTCGTCAAAATAATCACAGTTAAGAAACTGGCATTTTTCTGTCGGTTTATGAATTTTTATTGATTTTTTTTATTTTATAGCTCAACACCTTTCATGCCAATTAAAGAACACATTTCTGTGTGGATTATACTGAAAACATTGATTAAACGCACAAGAAATGTAAATTTTCAGTTTAGAAGGACTTTCTAGCTAAGGAAATAACTAATCTTTGGCGGCCATTTTCTCCCTAATTTTCCCTCTAAAACCAGATGACCCCCACCTCCTTCTTTGCAAATATCACCACTTGCATTGTATTCAAGATAAAGGGATTTTTTTTTTTCCTCCAAAGCAAGACAAATGAACAAGTTTTAAGATGATACCAATAACTCTACATGCACCAAAATTGACGAGAGCCTGATTCCACCGTGTCGTGACACACTTATGATGAAGCTATAGCTCCTAATTTAACTGTCCCCGTGGTTCATGCGCCCCGCATAATTTAGCAAAATTGATCATTTTTGCATATTTCTGATAATTTTCCTTTATCATTCTTTGTTAAAATTAACAGAATAGCATAATTTCACAATTTTGGGCTCAGTTGGCATAATTTTAGACTTTTTCTTGCATAAAACGGAGGGGACAGATTTAATCCAAAGAATACTTATGACGAAGCTATAGCTCCTGATTTAATCCAAAGAACACTTACAACGAAGCTATAGTTCCTGATTTAATCCAAAGAACACTTACGACGAAGCTATAGCTCCTGATTTAATCAAAAAGAACACTAAGGATGAAGCTATAGCTCCTGATTTAATCCGAAGAACACTTACATTGTCTCCAGACTTTGGGTCAAACATGCTGGCGTAAAACGTTCCCCCGGCTGCCCAGACCGTCTTATTCCGAGGCACGTAGCATATGCCACTCACAGTCGAGAGAAACGTGTCCAGCTTGTGGATGAGCTTTCCATCGATTGACCATATCTTCAAACTCTTGTCAAAAGAACCGGTCAGAAGCCTTTTGAAAGACGGAAAAGGGCAGACATTCTTTGAAAGATATTCATATTATAATCATCATCTGATTTAATAAGCCTTACACCAGTACAATAAAAATGAAAAAGGCAACATTTATAAATACCTTGTTCATTACTCCTCACTTTCAAACATCTACGTAGCAATATAACACAAAAGTCATATGTCAGATTTTGACAATATAACACTGTGTGTATTAAGTTTAAAGACTTATTTAAGCCCTACAAGTGGTACAGATACATTTTTGTCTTCATTAGTTTTCCCACCACATAAAAGTTAATATTGACAAAGAGTCTACCTAACAAGAGGGGCCACTTCTCTCTTTGAGCCAATTAAAAAAGTGTCCTCAAAATTCGGTGGCGCCCTCTTCGCAAATGCGCACCCTTTGCGAACAGAGTTACCCTACTTGAGTTTAAAAAATCAAAGTGAAACTAGCAAGTTTTGGAATAAATTTTCGGAAGAACGCTTTTTTAAAATGGTTACGCTGACAAAAAAAATTCTTCCGGAGGAAGGGGTGATTGTTTTCTTCGTTTAATTTGACTTTAAAATGAAAGGCGAGAGGTCATTAAAATGTAAAAAACCTAAAACTCCGCACTGAACGAAGCCAAAGTGCTGATGAACAGCAGTCGATCTGCGCACGCAAGGAGGTGCTATTCCTATTCTTCTTCTGGAAAAACGAAAGAGAGCTTCAAAACAAGACTGCAGCGCCATCTGAAGCAAAGAGCGAACTTCCGGCGGACACTTTTTTGACTGAGTGGCCCATCTTGTTATGTACAATCTTTGATATTAACATGCAAACTGACTTCTTCTTGTGCCTTTACAAAATAGTTTGAGCAACAAAACCTAATTCTACTGTTGAAAGATGCATAAATGACATGGGATAATATAGTGTACAGTGAAGCCCTTAATAAAAACACAGGGGCAAGATATACGGTCGCTTTTAAGGACAAGCAGGCTAACCCATATTTCGGGGATTTCCAGAAATCTTGACCGACATCAAAAGTGGGCATTGCCCTACCTATAGGAGCAGTTTGGTTTCATTGGTGTGTATATTTGTTTGGGTATAGAGGAAACTCTCCTTGTCTTTTAAAGAAACTGAACAAGCGGCAAAAACTTTACCTTCGATGTTCTCAAAACAGAGTTTTTCGGGATAGTCCCCTTGTGCCTGAAAACGACCATATTATGAAACATATATACACGAGACAAACGGAAGAGCACAGAAAACTAATTACAACTTGTGATCGTACATGACAGAAACACATAGCAAAAATATGACCCCCCCCTTCCCCACCCCAAAGGGCAGTGCTACTGACTGAAGTGTCTTTAGGCCATTCCTAAAGGGGGGTTATTAACATGTTCTTATGCACAGTAAAATTGTAAACGAGCTGATTTATCAATGTCATGCTCATAACTGTGCCGGAACAGCATTGGTGCTTTTTCTTTCCTCATCCTTATTATCATCCTTTTTTCCTCTTCTTCTTTTGTATGTTTGTCACACTCTCGAGACCCGCTATTTCCGGGGTGCCTTGATAGTCGAAGCAGACTTTGTGCTGTTGAAGCTAGAGAGGTGAGCAGAGTAAGTCTGCTTCACCATTTGGACTTCTCTGTTGACATCCACCCCTTGACGTTTATATGACCTTATGCAGTTGCGAGCACGTAAAACCTTACTAAAACTAAACTAAAAAATATGCGTAATATCTTACCATGAGTTATTTTCATTGTCTTTAGCAAGCACAAGGCAAGCGATGCCAGCATCGTGAACAATATTGCTGTGAAGGAAAGGAATACAAATGTATATATAGAAAATTTTGCAGAAAAAAAAGAGTGCAAACAATGCTACCCCATAACCAAAGAGGGAGGGAGGGAGGGAGGGAGAGGGAGAGAGGGAGAGAGAGAGAGAGAGAGAGAAAGAGAGAGAGAGAGAGAGATAAAGAGAGAGAGAGAGAGAGAGAGAGAGAGAGAGAGAGAGAGAGAGAGAGAGAGCGAGCAATGTAACAGATTACAAAGTTCATACACCGATCCCTTTCCCTTTAATTTCTCTTAGGTCAAAAGTGTTGTAAAAAGTTCAATAAGCTATAATTTATCATGTATAATTTATCATGTATAATTTATCATGTATAATTTATCGTGTATAATTTATCGTGTATAATTTATCATGTATAATTTATCATGTATAATTTATCATGTATAATTTATCATGTACGGATACATTTTGAGATGTCAGACACAATCATGACAAAATGCTCTGAAGTTACAGAGTGTGAAAAGGGCACCTCTACTTTTAGAATTTCAGAATCAAGAAACATTTTTCTGGGTTGTGACATAAATACAAGGATGATAATAATAGCATAATAATAATAATAATAATTATAATAATTATAAAAATAATAATGATGATGACCACATTAATAATAATAATAATAATAATAACAATAATAATGATGATGACGACAATAATAATAAAATTAATAATAATAATAATAATGACAACAATAATAATAATAATAATAATAATAATAATAATAATAATATAATAAAAATAATCATAATCATAATAATAACAAAAAAAAGCATTTGTATAACACGTCTCCCCACTCAACAGCAGACTATAAGCATGTTACAATTGATCTATATTATTAGCCCCAACAAATATAAGGAGAAAACTCAGAAACATTCTCAGCTTCCCATGAAGCATACAGTGCAAGCAGCTGATTAACCCTATTGTATTCTCCACATTTTAGAATACTTCTAGTACGAAGATCTCTTTGGAACTTTCAGTATTTCTCAAAAAATCATTGTGACAGACTGCTGTGCAAAGCCTACAGATCGGATTACCGAGTAAATTTCCTCTTTCGAAAGAGGTGGCACAGAGTTCCCCACGTCGTATGGATACGATAGTAAAACATGACGTACGGATAGGGTTAAGTGGTGGCACAGAGTTCCCCACGTCGTATGGATACGATAGTAAAACACGACGTACGGATAGGGTTAAGTGGTGGCACAGAGTTCTCCACGTCGTATGGATACAATAGTAAAACACGACATACGGATAGGGTTAAGTGGTGGCACAGAGTTCCCCACGTCATATGGATACGATAGTAAAACACGACATACGGATAGGGTTACGCAACGTTACGTACTTGAAGACAGGAGTGAGACTGTAGTCACCGGTGTAGGAAGAATCGTAGATCACCAGACGCTGATCATAGCTGGAACCATTAGAACATTTGAAATGACCTTATGCAGTTGTGAACGCCATAAAACCCCATACTAAACAAAACAAAAAACATTTGAAGTGACAAATTATGCAATAAAGAATTTTTGTGAGAGAACAATCAATTGCTTCAAAGATGCCTGGCTTTTTTTTATATTCATTCCCAGCTAATCCTTTCTATAAATATTTGATTTTTTTTTTTCAAGAAACTACAAAAATATGAAAAAACAAATGCCACAAAAAATTGTCCTCAAAGAATAAAAGATGCCAGGCTTATATTCATGTGCAATAAATTCTTTCTTTCAACAAATCTGAATTTATAAATGAACTAAAATATATCAAATAACAAACAATGCAATACAATTTTTTTCTCAAAGTACAATCAATAATGACAAAGATGTCCGGCTCATATTATTTATTGCAGTAAATCCTTTCTTTGAACAAATTAAAATTTTGTAAAGAACTAAAATATCTTGGAAGTGAGCTTACCCTGCAGAAAATATCCTGGACTCATGACAAATAATGCTCCGAACTATATCGGTATGTTGTTGAGCAAAATGGAGCAGCTTGTTGTTAACATAATGGCCACACTCCTTATCTGAAAGAAAAGACAGAAGTAGAAATGTTTTTTTACATTCCGTAAAGTAAAATGTGAATAAAGTAAGGTAAATAGTCGGGTACTTAAAGTACACAAAAAGAGCTTCACTCAACAGATACAAATGGAAAAAGACAACAGTCATTTTTTAAATTGTTGCTTGTGGTTGTTATACTTACTTAGACACCAAAGGTGTTTTATCTTTTTAAGCTGCTCACACTTCTTCAGAAAATTCTGGATTGGGAAAGTTTGTCCAGTTTATTTTCTGGACACAATAGTTTCATAAATATCGGGCAGCTGAAAGGGAGAATTTTCTTAACAGAGAAAAAAACCATAGTAAAAACGGATGTCTTGAAAAATAACTGAATTCTGCAGTATGCGGCACAAGTTTTACCACGGCACCAGTTTTACCACGGCACAAGTTTTACCACGGCACCAGTTTTACCACGGCACAAGTTTTACCACGGCACAAGTTTTACCACGGCACAAGTTTTACCACTCTTACCACAGTTGAGGCAACCATCATGACCATAAAATAGATGAAGGGATGCCCATAGCTAAACATTACAAGTGCAGAAACCGGCAAAAGCCAACATTTTGAACGATTATCTTAACAAAAAACCCTTATAAAGTGGTAAAACCATAACTCAAAGCAGTTCTTACACATATTTGTCAGTAGGGTCATCATTATAATTCCTTGAACTCTTTAACTATGACTGGTAGGTACCACCATCCAAGACGAAGTTATTATTGTGTTATGGTATGGGCTGTATATAAAAAAGTACGAGCTAACAAGCCTTTAGTTTGACCCGGAAGTCAAAGATAAATGAATTCTACGTCTGGGTAATGCTTTATTGATCAGTTTGACACGAAACAAGCGGTTTTAAAAACGTATTATGTCGGGTCGCATTTCCACAAACCCGAGAGAATTACACGGAAAAGTGATTTTAAATCGCATGGTTAAAGAGTGAAATCTAAATGTTGGAAAAAAAAATCCCCAAGCAAAGACTGACCTTCATCGAGGGTGTACACTTTGACACCTCCACTGACCCCACACACCAGCTGGTGGCGCCGGGGATTTATTGCCATGCAGTACACTGGGACCGTCATCTACAGTACAACAGTACAAACAAAAAAACCTGATTACAATTACTTTTCTGACACTATGAGGACAAACATAAAGGGAATAGAAACAAAGTTCTGAAAATAGTCAACAGTAGAGGCTGGCAGAGAAAGTTTTAAGCTCCGCAGAGAACACTTTGCCACTTCATCTCGCCGATCGGCGATGTTTACCACCCAGTTTCTTTGGATTTTCCCCAAAATATGACGGCAAAGTGTCAACGTTCGAAAGGCGTCAACATCTGCCAGAAAAATGCTGACATCTCAGAGACTTCTTCTTTATTTACATCTGCAGTAACTATGACCAATGTCTATTTGCCATCTGCTGTAACTATGACCAATGTCAATTTGCCATCTGCTGTAGCTATGACCAATGTCTATTTGCCATCTGCTGTAACTATGACCAATGTCTATTTGCCATCTGTTGTAACTATGACCAATGTCTATTTGCCATCTGCTGTAACTATGACCAATGTCAATTTGCCATCTGCTGTAACTATGACCAATGTCTATTTGCCATCTGCGGGTAACTATGACCAATGTCAATTTGCCATCTGCAGGAAACTATGACCAATGTCAATTTGCCATCTGCGGGTAACTATGACCAATGTCAATTTGCCATCTGCAGTAACTATGACCAATGTCCTGTAGTGTAGCAGTTAGGGGGTTTGCCATCTATAACCAATGTCCTGTATGTAGCAGTTAGGTGGTTTGCCATCTATAACCAATGTCCTGTATGTAGCAGTTAGGTGGTTTGCCATCTATAACCAATGTCCTGTATGTAGCAGTTAGGTGGTTTGCCATCTATAACCAATGTCCTGTAGTGTAGCAGTTAGGTGGTTTGCCATCAGATGTAACTATGACCAATGTCCTGTAGTGTAGCAGTTAGGTGGTTTGCCATCAATAACCAATGTCCTGTATGTAGCAGTTAGGTGGTTTGTCCTATGACCAATGTCTGTAGTGTATCAGTTAGGTGGTTTGCCATCTATAACCAATGTCCTGCATGTAGCAGTTAGGTGGTTTGCCCTATGACCAATGTCCTGTAGTGTAGCAGTTAGGTGGTTTGTCCTATGACCAATGTCTGTAGTGTATCAGTTAGGTGGTTTGCCATCACATACAGGAGAACAGAGTGCGATTCCTGAGTGCGGGAAAATCTTTATTCTGTATCTCTGTCTTTTTAACATTGTTATATGTTATTATTTAAACCTCAGTACAAAAATTCCAGATCACTTTTTTGAATGCATGCCTCTTTTTCTGAAATACTGCTGTATTGGCTGGGACTGGGGTTAGGAAGTGCACAAAATTGGCTGGGGCTGGAAGGGTTAACATCAAGAAACAATGCTATACAAGAAATTTGTCCAATCATTTTTCTTTTACTGTAAGGAGGATTAATTAAAATAAGGGGGCAGTGAAAAGGTGCTGGTTTCTTTGGTGGAATTTCTAGAAGTGAAAAATGTAGAAACGAAGCTGTAAACAAACATGTGACGTTGACCCGTCGACGAGAGCTTTTACGTACGTTGATGGTATCCACCACTCCTCCTCCTGTGCCCCAGGCCACAATCTGCGCGTCATTAGCGGCCGACAGCATCACTTTGGCATCAGCCCTGCATAAAAATATTACAGGTAGAAATTCATCCACATTTGTCGGGAAACTTACAAAACAAGACACGGATGCTGACTATATCTCTCACGACGTGGTGGAATCAGGCGCTCATCAATTTTTGGACATACAGAGTTATTGGTAACACTGTAAAGCTTGTTCATTTGTCTGTCTTTTGATGAAAAAATTCCTGTCTATCTTGAAAAGAAGTCGAGATATTTTGGATTGAAGGACGTAAGGGTCGCTTGGTTTCAGAGGCAAAATTAATGAGGAAATGGCCGCCAAAGTTTAGTGATTTTCTAAGCTTGTGAGCCTTTATAACTGTAAATTTACAATTTGCATACCTTTAATCAACTCTTTTCAATAAAATCCACACAGCAATGTGTTTTTAAATGGACATACAGGGTCTTGGGCCAAAAATTCAAAATTCCATAAAAATTGCCAAATTATAGATTGAAAAAACGCAAGATTCTTCAATTTCATTATTTTGACGAGCGTCTGATTTTACCACGATTCCTCACATTTTATTTAAAAACATTATATATATGCGCATTTAAGACAACATGGATTGACAATGGCAATTAAAAGCCCAAGCATTGCAGGGTAAAAATCGAAGACTACCAAAAAGCATGCAAATAGAAAAAAATAGACCACTTCATATGACAAAACACTGGTTACAAACGAAAATGCAACATCGTTGTCAATTAATCCAGGAATGAGTTACAGTGTGATATATAAACAAAAGACCCCCCCCCCCCCTTCAAATTCTTCATTTACAGCCATCTAGCACTACCGAAACAAGTTTAATTTCATTGGTTGAGAGTAGCAACAATGAGTAAACTTATTATAAAATAAAATATCACACAACATTAAGATGACTCTCAGTAGTTTCCAGTCACCTGAGTGAAATCATAAGAACATTTTATGCAATTCTTAAAAAAACAAAACAAATGAAAGTTTAATGAATATGAAGCAAGACCAATCATAATTTAAACAAAATAATAGCAACTTATAAATTGAACTCAGGACAGGAACAAGCGAAGAAAAATTAATGTTATTTAAATAAATAACATTAAAACCCAATCGCATTCTGAATAAATTCTAAAATAAAGTAATATCTCACCAGAAGAGGAAATCTGTGACCCATCCTTTATGTTCATAGAAAGTTTGAACAAGCCTGCCTGTCTCTGCTTCCCAGGACTTGACAACGCCATCTGTCAGAGAGAGAGAAATCAAACAATCAGAAAGGCATATCTAAAAAAGAAACATAAGTTTAGTTTTAGTAGAGGTTTTACGGCGCTCGCAACTGCATAAAAGGTCATGAGCGCCAAGGGGTGGTTGTCAACAGAGAAGCCCTTACAGGGAATCAGACTTACTCTGCTCACCTCTCTCTAGCTTTAACAGCACAAAGTCTGCTTCAACTATCAAGGCATCCCGGAAATAGTGGGTCACAAGAGTGTGACAAACATACAAAAGAAGTAGAGAGGAAACAATGACGATAGTAAGGATTAGGAAAGAAAAAGCAGCAGTTCCCTGTTGCAGGTCAGGGAGGGGGGGGGGGGGAGGGGGGAGGGAAAGAAATTTATTATAAGTCAGTGTGTACCTGCAACAAAACTTCAATATACCTCCTTTGCATATATTATATGGCCGTCGTTATTCGGACTCGAGTCCGAATAACATTTTTTTATATTCAGACTCGAGTCCGAATAAAAAAAATTCTTATTCGCACTCGAGTCCGAATATGAAAAAATGTTATTTGGACTCGGGTCCGGAAAAAAGGAAGTGTCTTCGTTCTATAGATCTAAAGTTCAGGGCTTCCCATTTTCCGCCATTTTTTAGTTTCCCCCACACCTTTTCTGCCGATCCGATGCCCGCCGCCTCATTGATACGCCCCCCCCCCCCCACCCCCCATGTTTTCCACTTTCTTTGTTGTAGAAAAAGGTAAAATTGAAGATTAGCAGACCACCTGGCACCTGCATACTATGAGCTGTGTAAAAAAAAAAGACCGATTCGTTCAAATACACAAGCCTGTGTCATCTCGATCGTTCACCAAGAAAAAGTTGTGTTGCTGTGTAGAGCTGAGCATACGGCAACTTTTGATTCCATAGACCAGCGCACAATTTATTGCTTAGATCTCCGTCAAGACTAGCTTATTATTGTAATAATGATCAGTTGCCGGGGGAAAAAAGACTGACGCGTATGCGACGTTCAACGCCCGGACCGATAGTGCCTTCCCCCCCCCCACCCCCCTCCCCGACACGCACACAGCCACACGTGTGCAGGCCGCCCATCCGACCCCAACACATGCTAAGGAGCCATCTCTAATTGCTTCTGATGATCTATTGACAAATAAACATTTATTAAAAGCGCTATATATAACTTTTCAGGCCGGCCTCAAATTCATCATAAGATAAAAACTCGGCTCCTGCTCAAAACGCCATTTTGCCCGAAGAGATCCCCGTCTCTACCCAGCCTGAGGCGAGTCACGACTGAGGCAGGACAGGAAGCCGGAGTCACGAGTCACAGGAAGTCGGAAGTCGAAAGTGATGTCATGCTGGACAAGAATCAGAGTCCGAATAACATTTTTTCATATTCGGACTCGAGTCTGAATAGTCACTTCGATATTATATTACATCTTCACCTACTCATGTTTTCCAAAAAGTTACAATAATGTGAGGTTACTTCTCCATCCCTGCTCAGTTTCTGACGTGCTCTTTCTCTACATATATTTAGATCTAGATATCCAGATCTAGATATCTAGATCTAGATCTCTAGAGATCTAATCTAGATTCTAGATCTAGATCTAGAATCTAGCTAGTCCTGCAGGGTAGGATTACCTTCAAATCCTAAAATGATTTCTCTTCTGACGGGATTATATCCTACTGCGGTTATAGAACGAGTGTGTGTATCCCGCACAGCATATTGTTTTTCCATAGCCATTTTGGACTATTGAGATGGGTAAAACGATATTCTTATAATTCCATCACAATACTTAATACACATATATTCCATTTGAGTTGACCATCAGTCATATATTTTCCGCCATTATTGTATTTCATAGCAACACTCTTACAAAAATACTACTTCCGGAAACCTGCGAGTTCACAGTTCAGAGTTCACTGTTCAGTTCACAGTTCAGAGTTCAGGGGTTTACGGTAAACGCGAGACCAAAACAGCAAGAGAGTAAAAAATAAAAAGGCCGTACACCATAAAGACAGATTTAATGCCTAATTGACATGGGATTTGGGAAAAAAAACAATCTAATAGACCAATAAAAGCCCAAGAAACCTCTAAGCTCTTATAACAGTTCGCAGCAAGTCTTCTCTCTCCGTTTCTCCACTCCTCTCCGCCTAACATGATGAATGTGTTGCCCGCTCGTTCTGCTGGGTGGGGAAGGTTGAATGAGGAAGTTGTTGTTGTCCCACGAAGGCCTGAATCTGAAGCAGGAAAACCCCATTTATAGCCAAGAGCCTTGCCTACTTGAACAATGGCTGCCCTTCTTATCTAGTTACGCCTGACAGGAAACCATGTTTGGTCTATTTACAGAAGCGATCATGTTTACTCTCCGGGCTGTCTTTTGCTAAGTTGTGGTCAGCTGTGTTTGATGTTATGTGCCCCTTCCCCCTTTTTTTTTATATTTACGAACTTTTGACTTCGGAAATTCTCGATCGATCTAATACGCACCAGGAAGTGTTTCGCTCTGTTATCTATTTTGGCTATCAGGTGCAATGCGGTTTTCTAGTTTAGGAAAAGAATAAGATAAAGAGAAAAGCTTATGGCAAGTTATGGTGGTGACTTGATCTTCCACACAAGCAAACGAGGCATGATTGAGTGTGACTATGGAAGGTAAGGCAATTAAAAAAGTGTAAAGATATTAGATATTAAGATCTTATTAATGTCAAGTTTGGTAATGAGTAGATTCAAATCCAGTCTTTCTCGAGTAGAACCAGATCTAGAGACTAGAGATCTAGATCGAGATCGAGATCTAGATCTTGATCTATACTGAACGCAAATGGATTTCTAGTGTAGAAAAGGTTATTTTTATTGAAATTGTTTAACAGCTGGATGATTTTTTAGGTTCTTTTCCGTTCGAAAATGTGATTTTCATTGAGCAGGGACGAACATCTTCGACTGGTATTTTTTATCGGCTCATTTAATGTCACAAGTCACAGTACTTAGACACAGGGACGCACAACACGCCTAGTCCATTTGGCACAGTTCAATATCTTGTATGCCCTCCTTGGCCTTGGGCTTCAACAACAGCTCGACACGTTCTGGGCATAGAGAGTGCGTCAGTCTGTTGGCGGTAGCCGGCTGGATGTTGCCCCACGGCGCCCATGCCTGTTGAATGTTCTGCTCCAGTTGTGCTGCGGCGCAGTGGCTTGCCTTGACTGAATGTTGTTAAGTTGTCGCTAGAGATGGTCCCATAAGTGTTTGATTAGGTTAAGGTCAGGGCTGAGTGCTGGCCATGGGAGCACTCTAATGTTGTTCTGCTGCAGGAATGCCACAGTTGCCTGTGCAGTGTGCGGGCGCGCGTTGTGGTGCTGGAACACCAAGTGGAGGTGTCGCTGGATGTAGGGGAGGACCGCCGGCCTAAGCACCGTGTTGATGGAACGTTGGTCGTTGATTCCATTGTCACGCCTGCGTCCGAGGTTTTGGAAGACGACAGGGCTGACCTCGTGATGCGGTCCAATGGCGGCCCTGGTGATGACCCTAGGGCCACTCCAGGCGTTGGCTTCCATCATGTTGAGGTCTGCGTAGCGTTCACCATTCCTCTTCCAGATTCTGACTCTTCCATCCACTTTGCTGATGCAGAATCGACTCTCGTCAGAGAAGAGAATGTTTCTCCATTGCCTTGATGTCCAACCTTTGTTGTCTATGGCGGGAAGTAAGTCCTCAGGTCTGAAGTCATCGCCCCACGGTCTGGCCAGATATCGGTCTAGAATATATATATATATCTAGAATATTTAAAACATATTCAATGAATTGAAAATATTTCAAATATGAGGGCTGTCCCACGGAAAACCGGAATTTGGCTGTAATTTGAAAAGTATTCAATATTTTCACATTCTGTAAACGCACATGTGTAAAACAATCATTTAGGAATTTCCCGATTGAGCACCATGAGCATCACACGAACCAAACGAACACAGCAGTTCTCCAAAGTTGGCTACTCCCTTGGAAAATTGGTCAAGGGTAGAAGTGAGGTCTGTCATTCGGCTTCTGACGGCAAAAGGTCTCAAACCTATAGAAATACAAACTGAAATAAAGTCAGTTTACGGGGAGAAAGTAATGGCAAAGTCACAGGTATATGAGTGGTATAGTAAGTTCAAAGCTGGGAATACGGATGTCAATGACAAAAGTTCACCCCGAACCTTGTTTTTCTGCCAAGACTGAGGACAACAAGAGTCGCTTTAACGAACTCATTCAAACAGACAGACACCTAAAACTTCGCGAAATTTCTGAGTCGCTAAACATTTCAAAGTCGACTGTCCATAGGATAGTGTTTGATGAGCTGCACTATTGAAAAGTGTCTGCTCGATGGGTCCCAAAATAGCTGACAGCTGACCACAAGACGCAACGTGTTGAAGTGTCTGAGACTTTGTTGAATCGTTGTCGCCAAGCTGTCACGGGAGTCATGAACATATCTAGAGACCTCCAACAATACGATGAAACATTCCTGAGAAGCATTATTACAGGTGATGAGATTTGGATACACCACATGACCCCTGAGATGAAGAGGGATTCAATGGTTTGGAAGTACATGTCTTCACCTCCCCGAAAAAGTTTAAAGTTCAGCCATCGGTGAAGAAACTCATGGCCACTGTTTTCTGGGATGCGAAGGTGTTCTGCTTCTTGACATTCTGGAACCAGGACAAACTGTTAATGCTTACATATGCTGGTTGTGCGCCGAAAAAGACCAGGACGGTTGTCCAGCGGAGTAATTTTGCAGCATGACAACACAACGCCACACCCCGCAAACACTACGAATGACTGGATCCAAAGGTTCGGCTGGGTAGTTCCGCCACACCCCCCACACAGTCCTGACTTGGCTCTGTCAGATTATCATCCTTTTGGACCAATGAAACGCCATATTTCTGGACAGCGATTCACCGACAACAAAGACCTCATGGAAGCCGTGAAAGATTGGTTGAAATATCTTGACAAAAAATTCTTCAGGGAGGGTATCTTCTCCCTGATCCAGTGATGGGAAAAATGCGTCCAACAAGATGGTGATTACATTGAGAAATATAGCACATGTTGATGTATGATGTGTTACATTTTTATTTTAATAGGACAACGAATGTTTCTTTCATGGACCTTTTCCAGTTTTCCGTGGGACAGCCCTCTTACATCTAGAATATAATTTCAAACAAAATTAGAATAGAACTGCTGTGACAACTGTGTCTTAAAAAAAATTCATGAGTATGACAAGTCACACTTTTACTGTTACAGCCTTTGTACTGTTCAAAGATGTAAGAACTGAATAAATTAACCCTAGCCGTACGCCCTAGGGTCATTTTGTACCACCAGGGTTGTATTCTTCACGTTTTAGAATATTTCTAGTACGAAGATCTCTTTGATACTTTCAGTATTTCTCAAAAAATCATTTTGACAGACTACTATGCAAAGCATACAGATCAGATTAACAAGTAAATTTCCTCTTTGAAAAGTGATAGCACAGAGTTCCCCACGTCGTATGGATACGATAGTAAAACATGACGTACGGATAGGGTTAAGAAGTGGAGGTTGCTAAATGTCTTGATGCTTTATCCACTTGCTTGATTGTGGTAATTAATGAAACAGTAATTTATAACCTGGGCTTACAAATGAAGAATAATATGCTTTTACCATAGAAGATGACTGGATGGATAACAACAACAACCTCAGAAGATGAGAAATGCAGTTGAACAATACTGGAGTTTGGAGAAGATATATCGGAGAAGATGGTCCTAAATGTGTAATGGAAATTTATAATCCAGAAAAACTTATGATTTAATCTGCTTCATGGAAGGAGGGATACACACCAATTCGAGAAGTCCACACAGCCTTATCAATAATGTGGTTAGGCCATACTCTATGGTGGAGAAATTGAAATTCAAGACAAATGTTCACAATTCAAAGACTTCCAAAGCCCAGTGGTGGTGGGTAGATTAAAATGTGGATGGGGCTCCGAAATAAGAGCAGGGTGAGTTCAAAAGTAAGATTTCCTTTGTTTAGAGGAAACTCTAGATATATAACTTTTGTGAGTGTGTATGATTATGTGTATGTGTGTCACGTGTCCACACTCCTACGCGCAGTACATACACACGCACAATACAACAGTAGTAACTGGATAAGGCCAGGTAGTCGCAGAAAGCAAGACATTCCTAACAAGGGCTTAATGAGTGGCGTGGGTGGCCGAGTGGTTAAGCTACCGGACTCGTAATTTCGTGAGATTGTGGGTTCGGTGGGGGTTCATGCCGCGGGTCCGATGTTGTGTCCTTGGGAAAGGGACTTTACACGAATTTTCCTCACTTCACCCAGGTGGGAATGGGTACCCGGCAATAGACAGCGAAAGATCTTAATAATAATAATAGATAGCATTTGTATAGTGCATATCCCCGCTCAACAGCAGGCTCTATGCGCTTTACACTATATTATTACCCCAGCACACCATAGAACACTCCGAAACATTCTCAGCTTTCCGGGAAGCATACAGTGCAAGCAGCTGAATAAGCACTCAAGCACTAACAAACTGACAAGAGCCTAACCACTAGGCCACCGACGCCACATCTTGTCAGTATGTTTGTGTTTTAGTTTAGCGCCTATAAGTGGCTGCTTGCACTGTATACTTTCTAGGAAGTTGAGGTTGTTTCAGAATGCTATCGGGTCTGCTGGGGTAATAGTATTGATTGTGAAGCGCATAGAACTTGATGTTGAGCAGAGGTTTGCGCTATACAAATGCTATCTATTATTATTATGAGCCAGTGTTTCGGTTACTGGGTCTCTGGGGAAAGTGTGTCATCATATATATACATGTACTTTCCCCGGTTGTCAGGGCTTGTAAAGGAAGAGCCCTCTCTAACAACAGTTTTTGCGAGGTCTCCTTTTTCTTTTCCCATTTTACAAGCTAGAGTTTCATTCAGAAAGGACTGTGGGAACTGGCTCATCCTCTGCCAAGCCCTAAAGACATTTGTGAAGTGTGCTGACAAAATGAGTATCTTCTCATATCTGAGCTCCGTGGAAATAGATATCACGCTTATAGGTGAAGTTTTTACAATTTCTTAGTATGTAATAATATAAAGTATGTTGTACATTAAAAATATAGCATCAATAGAAAATCTACAAATTTGACCCGCATGTTGATTTTTGACCAATATCTCCTTTTGTGGATGGCGAAAAGTAACTCATTTTGTCAGCTCTCCTCACATTTGATTGGCTGTTAGGTTACTATTGTTGTAAGTGGTGACAAAAGTGATTGGATAAACGATCAAGCAACATGTGTTCACTGCATGCAACTAGAGGCAGAAGATTCTAAAGCAGTGTGAATGGTTTCATCTGATTATTTTGTTCATTAAGAAACATTCATTTACATAGGGAAAGAGTTGTGATGGGAGTCATCATCATCCGGTGCCTTGCCGACTGGTGTGGGCGATCATGGACCTCCACTTCCATCTGTCTTTCGATGCAGCAATGGTGATGGGAGTGGGTGGGGCTTAAAAAAATAATATAACCCTTCTTTACTCCCATCCTCTGCCAAAGCCCCTCACTTGCTTTTATGCTGTCTTGCTTAACCTAAAGTTTCATTGATATTGATATTAGCCAGAATTACTTTTTTCATAACAGATCGTGCTGAGCAGACCAGAGAAATACTGTTGGAGGCTGTAAGACAAACAGATGAAAAGGCTCTGGAATGTCTCTTTACTGTCTTCAACAACGAGGATGCTCGCTGTATAAAATCCATCCTAGAGCAGCAACCCTCAATTCTGACTCAAGTGTGTCGTCTTGGATTTGTCAGGATTGTTGAGTTGATTGTACATTCACAGTTTCTTGACTTGACCAGATATGGAGTAAGTTTGTTAATATGCTGCTGATAAACCAATATATATATATGTGAGGCAGCGCGGTGGAATCAGGCTCTCGTCAAAATAATCAAAGTGAAGAAACTTGTATTTTTCCGCAGGTTTGTGAATTTTTATCAGTTTTTTATTTTTTTGCTCAACACTTTTCATGCCCTTTAAAGAATTCATTTCTGTGTGAATTTTCTTGAAAAACGTTGAGTAAAGGCACAAGGAATGTAAATTTTCAGTTACCACGGACTCTTAAGCTAAGGAAATAACTAATTTTTGGCGGCCATTTTCTCACTTATTTTACCTCTGAAAACAGGTGACCCCCACCTCCTTCATTCGCAAATATCTCGACTTGTATTCAAGGTAAATGGATATTTTTTTCATCCAAATAAAGACAAATGAACAAGCTTTAAGATGATACCAATAACTCTACATGCCCCAAAATTGACGAGAGCCTGATTCCACCACGCTGCCTCACATATAAGTTTTTGTGTCAGCTTTTGTGTAAAAGGATTATAGTGGAGCAGTAGGGCCCAAATTATATTTGATCACTTTTGAGTGCTTAGAATAAGTTGCAGTCTGACTAGAAATAGTTGTATACATTCAGTAAGTCAAAGATTAGAGCTTTCATAAGTAACTTATCGGGATTTTAAGTGAACCAGGATTGTAAGTGGTGGGATCTTAGGCAGAGACTACTGTATACATACATAAGTTACCACATTCTAGTTGGTGTCTTTTGTAAGGCTTGGTTATGGATGCAGAAACCAGCAAAGCACTCCAAGGGTACGTGAATTAAAAGAAAAAATGATGGCGGGACCTACTAGAAAAAGCTAGTTAGTATTTCAATATATATCTTTACTTTTTAAAGTGTTTGGTAAGATTGAACTTTGGTGGACTCAACACAGAACAAAGCCGGAACTACTTTTGAGCCAAGCTGTGCAATGGTCCGCTCTTTTGTTACTGTTTTGCATGTATGCGTGTTTTTTAAAATTAATATTGTTTCCATGCCCCCCTGAAGCCCCCCACTGTTGTTATGGCTAGTGCACATTAATAACACATGATGTAAACACAGTGGGTCACCACAGTTCAATCCAGCCCAGCCAAGTGTTTTCATATATATGAGAGATAGACAGAACTGAAATGTTTTTCTATCTGTATAGAATTAATGTTTTAATGAATGTTTCTAGTTACTCATGTTTCTGTTGCACTGGGGTTGTTTGCCATTATTGTATATAATAAAGCAAAAGTAAGAACTCCGTCGTTTCTAAATGAAGAAGGGTAATTTAATGATGAAAATAATATGAGGTCTGCCCTCTCTGGCTTCACTGACAAGACTAAATAAATCATAATGAGCATGAGTACATGTGATTGAAACAGGAAGGAGGAGTGAGTAAAGATCACTAAGATCAGACAATCTTTGTTGTGAGGGTAGATAAATAAAAGTACAATTACAGGGACATAATTCAACATGTTAATATAGGGACCAACAATCCAGGATTTATTGTTTCCCTTCTGTATATTGATAAAGCAATCTAATAGTCTAACAGTTTCAACTTTAGTTTGACTGTTCGTGAATTTTTATTGCATTGTATATTTTTAGTGAACACATTTTCAACTTCACTGCGAGACTGTTTTTCTGGTATAAAATTTTACACATATGCATTTATATTATATGTATAATACTTTGTTTTACGTACACATTTGTGTCGATTCATTTTTAAGATGTGATGTCTTTTTCATTGTAATGCGCATTGAGCATCTTTTAGGAAATGGAAATGCGCAGTATAAATGCTATTTATTATTGTTATTATTTTATATTCCTTTCTTTTTGAAAACATTTTTAGAGAGAAAGCCTCCAGGCGTGCTGTTTTTTGGGGCATGTGGACTTGACGAGACTTCTGCTAGAGCATGGAGTCCAGCCGGGCCAAAATGTGTGGGAGGAAGACTCCGAATTTTATGTGGCGAACTTGAACGGTCATGTAGAAATTGTGGATATGCTGTATGAAAAGTTCCCTGGTAAGAAGTTCAGATGTTGGTAAAAAGATTCTGTACGTTGAAACATTTTGGATGATTATTGCTTCTCTACTTCTTCCTCTTGAGATTTTTTTTTTTTTCCTACTCTGATTTATTTGATAAATTTAAAGGACATAAAGGTACAGATCTGGTTTGTTGAGAATGTATCAATGAAAGAGTGATATATAAAAATAACTGTCGGACAAAGACAATAGACTTTATGATGTCATCTTAGGTGCTTTAGTCAGGGATGCCACTTTTCCACTTTTTTCTGGTATTTCCGGTATTTTGATCCTGATCCGCTATTCCGTTATTGAGACCAAGATAGAATGTGTACACCCATTGCTTATGTTTATTTGTCATTTCTCTCTATGTAGCCTACACCCTTTGGGTTTCAAATTGATATTCATATGTTCGCGAGACCCTGGCGCATGATGGATTTTCAGCTATTTTCAAAAAAGTTGAGTGGCATCCCTGTTTAATGAATGGTGGGAAATATTAAAAACTCCCGAACTGCGTTATATTTCTAAAATATATTTATTACTTAGAGTGTGATATTTCTTCTTCTCCTTCTCTCATTGCTCTATGACTTTGGTGTTTATTGTATAAGAGAAGGAAGTGTCTATGTACTCCCCGATTGGGGTCTACATAGTCATGGTGTATAGGTGGACCCCAAAATGTTGGATTGTGATTGGCTCGCTGAGCGAGCGGTAGTTTACATTGGTTACAACAAAGATACTACACCCTACGGTAGGCTGTACTATCTTTGGTTACAATGCAAGGCTACTGGTCATCTCGGGCTGTGTGTCGATCTAGTGTTACTATAATTTATTTATTTTAGCCCAGAGAGAGAGTATAATTTAATGAATAAACGTATCTAGATCTAGAATCTAGATCTAATCTAGATGTCTAGATCTAGATCTAAAATCTAAATCTAGACCGAACTGCACACTCTTGGCTGGTTGCACAACAAAATCTAGATCTAGATCTAGATACGTTTATTCATTAAATACTTTCTCTTGGCTAAAATAAATTAATTATAGTAACACAAGATAGACATACTACCCGAGATGATCAGTAAGTAGGCTTAGCAGCCTTGCATTGTTTTGTAACCAATGTAAACTACCGCTCGCTCAGCGAGCCAATCACAATCCAACATTTTTGGGGTCCACCTAGACACCATGACTACGTAGACCCCAATCGGGGAGTACGTAGACACTTCCATAACAGAATATCTGTACCTGCTTCTGTAATAACTGTATGCTGTTGCGAAAGGCATTAAAACTTACATAATTTGGCACATTTCAGAGTATAGATATCTGTTTTATAGATTTTGAAGTGTTTTTAAATGTTGAACTGTTATGGTATAAAAGAGCATCTATTCTATTTGTGAAAGTTCGTCACTTTGGCCTCCTAAAACTTCCCAACCACTCAACTTTCGATTTTGACAAAATTAATGGTGGTTCTGAATCATTTAAAGGGTGCACAGTTTTATTGAGGAGCCTGAAGTCACTGTAGTTTAATTTTCAGTTTTTCGTTAGTTTCGTTTAGATCTAATCCTGGGAAAGTCTGTATAATGTTTAGTTGTTTTATAGGTCCAGTTTATAACACACAGCAGACAAGATGACGAAGAGTATAGAAACAAGAGTGAAGGCATTGATGGTGAAACTCAGACTGCCTGGGTTTTTTTATTGTTCTTCAATTGCCAAAACCAATGGCCAGCATTGTTTACATGCTACTATGCCAGGTTGGCATAGGTAGGCTAAATCGACATTACAGTCCGACTTCTAAGATGTCATTGTAAACAAGTGAAATTTCCGTTCACTAACCGTGCGTACCTTTGAAATTCTGGAGTGTACAACCACAAAAACGGAATAGAGAATCAATCTATACATCTCTCTATATCTAGAACTCCTAATTTTTTGCATCTCTCAAGATTTACTGCTCCATTCAAGTAGAGTATAAATATGGTAGGCCAATGACTTTCAGTTGATGTTAATGCACCGATCATACCTTTCATCGAAAGGGGGTCCAGCTAGTCCATTATAATGTCATATAACAAATTTTGAATGATTGTAGAAATGAGTGCTCATTGCATTTCCGGGTATTAAATACTGAACGACTGTTATGTTATTGGCTGCTACTCATAATGTAGCTTCATTACATTGCTGTTCGCCTCACCTAAAATAGATGTGTATAATGGTGGTGTCGGTGGCCTAGCATTTGGCTCTCGGACTCGAAGCCATAAGGTCGTGGGTTCGAATCCCGTCAGGGGCTCAACGTTGTATCCTTGGGAAAGGCACTTTGCTCAAATTTTCCTCACTTCACCCAGGTGGAAATGGGTACCCGGCTATAGACAGGGAACGATCTTGTCAGTTTGTTAGTGTTTGAGCGCGTGAAATCCGCAGCTTGCACTGTATGCTTCCGCGGAAGCTGAGAATGTTTCTGAGTGTTCTCAGAGGGTCTGCTGGGGTAATAATAAGTTATAAAGCGCATAGAGCAAGCTCTTGAGCAAGGATGTGCGCTATATACATGCAATTATTATTATTATTATTATTATTATTATTATTATTATTATAAATGAATATCCTCAGAATATGTGATGAAGGAAAATGTACGGTACTGCCTGATGTACGCTGCCTGCCAAGGAGGTCACCTTGCCCTGGTGAAAAAGTGGATCAGTGCCATAACAGACGTGAACAGTGAAGTGGAGTTTGTCGCAAGTCTCTCTGCCTGTGAAAATCAGTATCCTTTGTTCACAGTTTGCTCAGGTGAAGGCATTTCTACAGATTTTTTGGGTCCCTCTAATGCTTGTGATTTTGCACCTGAATTGTTTTTTGGGGGGGGGGTTTTGTGGTCCAATTGAAGAGACACATTATCAAAATTAAAATAAAGGCATCACACATGTGAGAGATGTAATTTGATTGCCATGCTGAGTATTTTAATTTTAGCATTTTTTAGCCCTATTCGTACGTCGTGTTTTACTATCCTATCCATACGACTTGGGGAACTCTGTGCCACCACTTAACCCTATCCATACGTCGTGTTTTACTATCATATCCATACGTGGGGAACTCTGTGCCACCACTTAACCCTATCCATACGTCGTGTTTTACTATCATATCCATACGACTTGGGGAACTCTGTGCCACCACTTAACCCTATCCATACGTCGTATTTTATTATCATATCCATACGACGTGGGGAACTCTGTGCCACCACTTTCTAAAACGGAAATTTACTCATTAATCCGATCCGTACGCTTTGCATAGTAGTCTGTCAAAATAATTTTTTGAGAAATACTGAAAGTTTCAAAGAGATCTTCGTACTAGAAGTATTCTAAAATGTGAAGAATACAACCCTGTGGGTACAAAATGACCCCAGGGCGTACGGATAGGGTTAAAATGTTTTGTTGTTTTTGTATCACAGGTGAACATATGGAAGTGGCTCTTTTCCTTTTGACGGAGCTCAATGCAAACTTCACAGAGGCAGTCTGCAGGAGTTTTCCTGATTTTACCAGGAGACTTATTCTGTCAAACTTTGTGAGAACAGATGAACGAAAGAATCGTAAGGTAAGAAGCTGTCCAATGATCTGGTGTGGTTTGCTTCTTCTAATTCTTTTTTTAACTGTTCCAGTGGTTCAAAGCTGTTCAGGCAGAACGGAGCCATAGTGTATATAGATTGTGCTAACTCGACATAAAGTGCAACTTGTGGGTGGTTGGCGGGTGCTGTGGTGTGGTTTGCTTCTTCTTTTCTTTTAAACACCTATCGTCTTTATCTCCCCTCCTTCTTTTTTTGTGTTTGTTACTCTCTTGTAACACCTCTAATCTTCGGCACTTATATGACCTTATTGTGTTGCAAGTGCTGTAAAACACTCACTAAAGCTAAAAAACTAAACTGCAACTTCACATGGTCAGATCATTGAAATAATTGGATTGAAAGATAGTATATCAGTGGTATTATAATAAATGCTTCTTCCGTGTAACTGGTTTCTGGAAAAATATGTCAACTCTGAAAAAAAAAACCCCACCCTTTTTAATTCAAATGATGAAAGAAGACATACAAGTTTGCAACAGAACTGTTATGCTATTTATAGAACATTCTGACGATTGGTTTTCCCTCGTAGTGTTATCCGAGAGACATTTTTGTAAGCTTGTTTGTATATATATAACTTTTTTCAACATATTTGTTCAGGTTGAGGTTTTGCATATTTTAAAAAAATATTTGAGAATGTTTCTGATGTTGTTACTTTTTACTTGTTCATCCTATGTTGCCGTTAAGCGTCGAGGGGAGATGCAGTTTTCTATGGTAGGCCAGCTCCGCAGCTCTTTCAGTAGTGATGATATGTTTTCTTAGGGTTTCTTTGACACCCTCGATCCACCTTTTGTGTGGCCTTCCTCTTCCTTTATAGCCTGAGTGCTTGGTGTTGTAGGCTCTCAAGGCTGGCTGGTCAGGTGACATGCGTAACAGGTGGCCAAACCATTTTATCCTTTGTCTTTCAAACATATGACCACAACAAAAAGGAATGACAATATAAACCATATACAGAGAAAGAAACAGACCACGATCTTCCGCCTACGAACAGTACATATACAGCTCAACTTCCACCTGAACAGAATAAACCCGGAACTTCCCCCAATGTGTCCTTTGTGTGACTGCATATGAGACTGTGGATCATCACCTGTTCCACTGCACAGCTCTAAATGACATCAGAGCTACCCTTCTCCCTCCGAGACCTAACATTGACAGCACACTCTATGGAACATTATAGCAACTGCAACAAACCTGCACTTATCTCTACATGGCATTGGACAGAAGGGCGAGAGCCCAGTTGTTGCTGGATCGATAACAACAACAACAACATTGTCTTTCTATGTAATGCAGGCAGGACTCAGTGCCGATAGCTGCTCTTACTTCTTCATTTCTCTGCCTGTCTCGTCTTGTGATGTTAAGGGTTTTGCGGAGACAATTCATTTCGCTTGCGGGGATTTTGCTTTCATGGGTTTTGCTTAAGGTCCAGGTCTGGCACTGATAACATAATGTTGGTTGTTGTTGTTAGCGGTCCAGTAGCATCTGAGCGTTAACTTTTCTGCATGATGCCATTCGGTAATAGTTGCATGTCTGTTCTAATTGTTGTCTTGAGGAGGAGAGGCAATTAGATGTGTGGGGTAGCTTGGGAAGAAAACATCCCCTTAAATCAGTTAGTTTTCTACAGAAAAACAGATGATGTTCCACTGTCTCTGAGGGGTAGTCACATAGTGGGCAGGCAGCAGACTGCTTTACTCCAATTCGGTTGAGATGTTGGTTGAGGGGTACATGTTGTGTTCTAAGTACATAATGTTGGTGTGAATATTGAGGTGATAAGCTGTCTCTTTGTGTCCATGGAGATGTCTGGATGAGACAGGAGGGGTGCCAGCTGGTACGTGTTTGTGACTTTGAAAATTCTCCTTTGAAAAGTTCCTCCCAATAGAACAATTCAATTTGTATGAAAAACGTTTTAAAAGAACCAATAAAATTGTTTTATAGTTATTCGTCTCTGTTATACGTTTCTCTCTCCATTTTTTTAAAGTTTGTAAATCTATTGACTGTTCTTTAGTTTGATCAAATCTGGTTAGTGGGTGGTTGGCGGGTGCTCTGGTGTGGTTTGCTCCTTCTTTCTTATCAAACATCTATCGTCCTTATCTCCCCTTCTTCTTTTTTACGTTTGTTACTCTCATGTAATGTGTCATTTATTGCTGTATTACGTGGTGCTCTAGAGTGCGCCTTGCGGCCCAATACCTCCGATTTCAGCTCTCCAGCTCCAGGTCCTAGGTCCTACGCTGGGAGCACAGGGAGGAATTGTTACCGGTTCCCACCCGTAGCCAGGACTTAATGCGGTCCTTTTCCGCATGATGCTCCCGTCAGAGGACTCCTAGGGCTTTTAATGACGTGGTAGTGCCACCTACCACCTCACCCCGTCCTGGTAAGAGCATTGCCAGTTGGTCCAGGGCTGCTTATTCAACATATTCACAGCTAACCTCCATTACACTGGCCGTTCCCTATTCGCCACCAGGGACCCGCTAGTGTGCAGAGGCGGACCAAACTGTTGAGCACATCCTTCAGCACTGCAAGACACACAGGGCCCTCAGACAGGAAATGTGGCCAACCCCACTGACGCTACAAGAGAAGCTATACGGGCCGATGAACTGAGCCGGACGGCCCAATTTATGACAGATACCAGACTTTAAGTGTGATGCGATCGAGAAGAAGAAGGCTCTCTTATAACACCTCTAATCTTCTGGCGCTCGTATGACCTTATGCAGTTGCGAGCGCCGCCGTAAAACCTCTATTAAAACCAAAACTAAAAATCTGGTTAATTTTTGTTCTTTGATCGATGTCTTTTCTTTCTTTTCAGTTTGAAATGTCGGACCTGCATTTATTTTGTCTCCTTCCTTCCTGGTTCATCGTGGAAAACTCTGACGGGGACGGAGATAGTCTGGGAGAAGACTTTTCCTCCAACGTTACTTTGACGATCGACGTGTCCAAGAACAAGCTCAAGGAAGTTCCTCATGACATCCTTTGGTCCCTGGATAATGTCGTTGAGTTGAACGTGAGCCACAATCCACTGTTGACCGCCATCGCTGATCCAGTCGGACCGGTTGAGACTATTGACCTGTCTCGAAACAGGTAAAACTATTAAGACATCCTGGCCTGCCTGCTCCTCATTCGAAGTGTGTAATTTGACCAAGTTTCAGCGTTCACTGGCTTGTCGTTGGTTTTTTTAAGATAGTGTGGTCATGAATCTTTTTCCCTTTTTTGTTTCTGCTCTTATTTACCTTTGCGCTTAAATTTTAATGATCTGGGGTAATTGGTATGCGCACTGATTATATATTCCAAATCTTATCATGTTTGTGCTTGCACACACTCTCTCTCTCTCTCTCTCTCTCTCTCTCTCTCTCTCTCTCTCTCTCTCTC